GGGCCCATATTACAGCAGCTGGCACAAGGTCTGGCAGTGATCTGGGTCCCCACCAAGTGGCAGTGAGTACCTTGCAGGTAAAGCCAGCAAGACCAGATGGGATGGGCCAAGATACATGCTATGGCTCCAAAGCTAATAATCCCAGAGGAATCCCGCCTCCTCAGCCTTTAGTGGCTCCCCAGTCACTCCAGGGAATAGTCTGCATCCTTCAGCCTGGAGGGTGAGTTCTTCTGGCCTGACTTTTCCTTCTGCTACTTCCTAATGTGTGTGCCCTGGTCTAACGACAAGGATCTACACCAGCTCTGAACATGGCTCGTTTCTCTTGCCTTGTGTTCACGCAGTGGTAGATGGCCAACTACGAGCCTCTGGGCCCCACTCCTTCCACGCAGGAAATGAACCCCTCCCGTCCAGGAGGCGGCCCACCGTTACCAAACGACCAAGCTAGAAACCAAAACTGAGTGCCTCCAAACAAATGAGTGGGTAAGGAGATCCTGACCCTGCTGCGTACCTAGAATTTCACAATACTGAAAAGGTCTGCTTGGTGAGAGACTTGGGTCAAAGTGAAAAAGAGACCTGCTATTTCTCCCCAATGCGAGATGTTCGTACAAGAGAACTGGTGCTGGGACTGAATACAGTTTTGATGGTGAATGGAGACAGGTGGCACAAAGGTAAGAGGAGAAGGAAAAATACCCAGATTATCACTGATTTGATTGCTTGTTACTCAATAAATGTTTATCACAGCACTGAGTTACATGCAAAGGATACAAGGATAAAAGCACACAGCGCTCCCAATGATTTTACATCATGGCGAGGAAAAGATGATGGAAACAGTGAGCATGCAGTTAAGTAAAGCATGACCGGTAGGTAAAGGGGGGAAGGGAACAGGACCGCGTGGGAAGCGATGCAGGGTTAGCGTTTGTACCAGCCGGCAAAAGAATAAAAGTTGGCCGAGAGAATGGGCAGTGTAGAAAGGGAAAGAGACACTCCCAGCAGGAAGAAAGGCAGACGCAAAGGTACAGAAGTAAGAGCGAACATGCCATTTACACACAGAAGCTCTTCGTCAGGTCTTGAAAATAAACCGGGAAGTAGCTACGCTATACTTAACGACTGCAAAACCTTTTCATGGTTTACTCCTTCAATAAAAAGTGTCTGAACGTTCATCTCAGTAGACACCTATTCATCAGTGGCACATATCTCTGTTCCTACATTACATACATGACAAAAGGTAAACAAAAACTAATAACAGAAACTCCCGGAAGACATGGTTGACTCCAGCCTGGGGCAGGGAAGGTATGAACTCGGGACGTGGTTCCAGAAAGAGAGGAAGCAGCAAAGAACAATGGGATTGTGATAAAAGGACAGAAGAGACCATTCGAAGAGGCTCATGTGGACCAAACTGAGGACAATTCCAGCATCAGGAAACAAGAAGCTGTGAATGATTACAAGACATAACCCAAAGCGGTAATTAAGAGCAAAGGAACCCATGAATGCACGATGTGAAGGCACGTGTGAGAGACTGTGGGGCAGGCGGCGTGCCAGGGAGGAGCACCAAAGCCCGCCTTCTGGAAGCATCTTCTCTATCTGGCCGCTCCGGAGTTCTCTATCCATTTATAATAAACCAGTGATCCTGCCAGAAAAAGAGTTTCCTGTGTTCTGTGAGCTGCTGGAACAAATTAACTGAACCTGAGGAGGGGGTCGTGGGAACCTCGGATTCATGGCTGATGGGTCAGAAGCACAGGTGACAATGTGGACTTGCCACTGGTGTATGAAGGGGGGCGGGGGTGTCTGGTGGGATTGAGCCCTTAACCTGTAGGATCTGGTTCTGTCTCCATAGAGTGTCAGAAATGAGTTAAATCGCAGGACACCCAGCTGGTGTCAGAGAAGCTTTTGGGGCAGGGAAAACCCCCTACACACACATTTGGTCACCAAAGGTGTCAGAAGTAGCGTGAAGGAGACAGACACAGGTGAGTTTTCCCTATGCGAACCTACCTTCCATGTGAAGGTATCTTATAAGCACCTTCAAAGAGTCCTTGATCGGGGTAAAAGTAAAAAGGAACAGAGTATGTTTACCCAAGTAAGATAAAGAAAGCACAAAATAGAACCCACATCCTTAAGGTGATTAGTTAGAGCTACTTGAGGGGATTCTGAGAGCTACTTGCAGGGCTGGGTCATCAATGGACTCATCGTGTGTTAAACACTCTTGCCAGCAGAGGGAGCAGAGGAGGATTCTGAGCTGCTCTTCCGCAGGCTAGAATGGAAACCATGAGTGATGCCCCGGGTTTGCTTACTGGAGTCCCTGAGCAGGTCACAGGCAGAGACAGGCTGTGGGGCACTCACTCTCAAAATACTTGATATAAGTCATCACATAAAATTCCATGCCACTTGCTTTAAATTGGCTTTGACATTTCAAGAGCTGAGTCCTACAACCAGAAACAACTATCAGAATAAAATCAGAGACTTCTTCCTTAACACAGACTAAGAGGAGGTATGTGTTTTCCTTGAATAGAAACAAGACAAAACAAAAACCAAAAGTAAGACTGTCAGATGGAAGTACAAATATTAAACTATATATTCTGTAAAAGCCACAGGTGTAAGCTGCTGGATATGGAAGGTTTCTACAAATGCAGATGTCACTAACTAAACACAGAAAGAATGAGAAAAGCTCAGAAATGGAATCTGATAGTCAGAGAGCCAGAGAAAGCCCTGCTGGGACAGAAGACAATTTAAATCACATTACTTATTCAGGAGGACAAAAGGAATAAAGCGACAATGGGGAATTCATACATACATGACATGCCCACCTCTGGCCCATTCCCTTCACAGCATTTGTCAAGGCTCGGATACTCGGGCCACTGAAAGGACACACTTGGTGGGGAGGGACACTTACTTTTTGGCAAATCTCCAGTGCTGGAGGCTGAAACCGTCCGGCTTCTGTCATGGGATGGACTGCTTTCCTCAGGCTCGGTAAGCGGGGATCCCTCGGAAAGTGCAGAACCACAAGCCACAGGTTCTAGAGGCCCAGAGAACAAGGATGTGGAAAACTCTGGAAACTGTGACTCGGGAATTTTATGTCGTCCATTTGGCAATTCACCATTGAATTGTTCATAGGAGCTGCTATATGTGTAATCACTTTCTGCATTTGGCTCATCAAGGTTATATTCCTCAGGATTGGGACAATCTTCTTCATCGTCATCTTCATCATCCAGCTGCTGCTCCAGTAAGAACGGGCCATTCTCAATATGGCCGTTGGTTCTGGGGGACTCTATCCATGCAGGGTCTGTGCTCGTCAGTTCTGGTTCCACATCATCTCCATCTTTCTCAGTGTTTTCTTTCTCAGTGTCTTCTTTCTCTTCCTGGTCCTCAGCCTCACCTTAAAAAGTTGATGGGTTGAGAATCAGAACATGTTACTCTTCTCAACACAGTGGCACTAGGTACATATTTCCTCCAACAAGAGACTATTTTGAATGTGTTTAGGTTTTTGTTCCCCCGTTGAGTAAGCTCTACACCCACCGTGGGGCTCAAACTTGTGACCCTGAGGATCAAGAGTCGCATGCTCTGGGCACCTGGGTGGCTCAGTTGGTTGAGCGTCTGACTTGAGCTCAGGTCATGATCTCACGGTTCATGAGTTCAAGCCCCACGTCAGGCTCTGTGCTAACAGCTCAGAGCCTGGGGCCTGCTTTGGATTCTGTGTCTCCCTCTCTCTGCCCCTTCCCCACTCACATTCCGTCTTTCTCTGAAAAATAGATAAAACATTAAAAGAAAAAAAAAAAGAGTCACATGCTCTGCCGACCCAGCCAGCCAGGCACCCCTGAATGTGCTTAATTTACATACTACACAGCAAAACACCTCTTGGCTCTCAAGGTAAAATCTTAGGTTTTCTCAATCTTATTTTTCATTTAGTAAATAACTGGCTTACTCTTATTAGAAGAAGTTAGATTTGGGGGCGGGAAAAGGGACTATTTCCACTTCTACCCTCACTTCTACAATCTTTAGAAAATGTGGGTACATTACTGTTAGGGTAAAAGTTAATTACAAAATAAAGAACATTCATTAGCATGCTCGAGATGTGGTGTCAGGTAGACATTTTCCATTTTTAAAAAAGTGTTTTGAAATACTAACGTTATTTCTGGCATTCATTTTACAAATGAAGTGGCAGACAGATTCCCATGTTCCCCAATCCTCACATATGAAGCAGTGACACCAAGCCCACCAGGGTGGGGACCTGGTGGGTGCCCACTAATGAAGTGCCAGGACCCCATGCAGACTGACCCTTGTCATTCACAGGCTCGCCCTCGGCTGCGTCCTCTAAGCCAGCAGTTTTGAGCTTCCCCTCTGGGCGGTACTCCTCGTCTTGTTCATTGGAAGGTACAGCGGATGAGATGTTTTCTTCTATGATTTTCCTTTCCGCTTCTCGCTCCAATTCTTCTATTTCCTGCAGGCGCTTTTCCAGCAACTCAGCCTGCCTTTTCTGCTTCTTTTTCAGTTTTTTCTTTTTGTTCTTAGATATTTTTCCTATCTACAACATGTTAAGAAAACACCACAGGTCAGTTTGCTTCTTTTTAAAGCACTACACAAGAGTGCAAGTGTGAGTGGCGTGGCAAGCCCCAACCAATCCTGTTTTCCAGGCCTGAGTTATTTATTACAACCAAATATGCCCACAGAGGAGATCGATCTCGTGTGTAGGATCGCAGTAAAACTGGAAAAAAGAAACCAGCGCTGCCTACCATCATGGAAGGGGACTGCCAGCAGGCCCTGACCTCAGAGGACACGGCTCCAATCCAGGAAGGCTGTTTCATTTAAACGCTGAGCACAGAAGAATACGCTGAGGTACTCTGGCCTTTCGACAAGTAGCACCCCTTCCAAGTTTTACTGGCTGCTGCCCGTATACAAGCTAACAACATCCCCTGTCCTTCCGGTCTCGCCCAACTCTCAGCCATGAAAGAAGACCTTGCCAAAACAAGTGGGTTTCAGTCACTGTTGGTCAACAGCTCTGTTTGTGTTTGGGTCTCACACACGGAGCTGTTGTTATCAACAGCCGAGATGGCAGAAACTGTCAAAAACGAGCGTACGAAGTAAAGGGAAAAAAAGAAAAAGCCACAGTTTCAGTCTGCCTGCGATCAGGGCCACATGACTTGGAAAGTGCTGGCAACGACAGCCTCCAGTCTCTCCACGGAGTCAATAATCGAAACAAGCTGCTTGAGCCACAGGAGGGCTGCAGGCAGGGACCGGGCCGTGCAGCGAGCCAGGTGGCATCATCACTATAGTTCCCGCCTGCACTGGGACTTCCATTCCCAAGTGAGGGCTCCTGGCAGCGCATTTCCTTTCAAGTGCTTCTGGTTCGTAAAGTGCTTTCAAGACTTGCACATGACTCATCAACTCAAGACATATACACTCTATCCTCTACTGGAACTAAGCGGGTTTAGGGACAATGGGGTAAGACTGAATTCCAAGCACCTCGTTTCATTTGAATGGACCACAAAATACACAGTACTCTTTTATACATAACTACCAGCTGGAAAACACATTAGAGTACAAGCTTCAGAAAAACAGGGATCTTGGAGGCAAATCAGAAGTAATGTTAAGTGTTTCTGTAATAATCACACTTCAAGCCTGATCTCGACCGCGTCACCCCTTTCACCAGACTCTGCCAACGGACCCCAGAAAGTGCTCAGGGAAAATAAAGATCAAACGTGGAAGGGCTCTAACTATCCCAACTCTAAAAAATCCCTTCGACTTGTCAAAGCGGTACGTCTCTAACTATCCCAACTCTAAAAAATCCCTTCGACTTGTCAAAGCGGTACGTCTCATCTATTCAAGGATACACAGCATTTGTGAACATGCCCGCCCTTTACATTAACACGTATTAAACACCTACAGTTGAGAAGGGAACAAAGAAAGGTACGATCCGATTCTCAAACAACCTTAAATGAAAAAATCGTTGCAAAAAGCAGCATAAACTAATGTTACAACTTGAAAAGCTCAATAAGGAACAGCTGCTTTTAACAAGAAGGTGAGTAGAAGTGTGTGTGGAATAAAGTACTTACAGGTTTTTGCTGTGGAGCCGTACTCACTAAAACAAAATGAAACAAAATGAATGTTTAGAGGAAAACAGACATATATCTTTAGGTAGGTTATATGAATTGTAAAACGAAAAGTAATTATTGTCTTTTAATTGCTATCCAGCTGGAAACCTGTTTAACCTCAGTGCTTCTTAATCATACAGATCTAAAGGAAGTTTTTCCAACTCAAATGAATGACTGGCTCTTAAAAGGCACAGCAGTCATTGTTCATATGGAGCCATTTTTCTTATTTGTCTAAAATTAAATACCCATTTATTTAAAATCCAAAGCACTGATACGAAAATGGAGAAGAGTTCACAAATGTCACACCATCATCTAAATTTGTTCTACAGACAATGAAATGAACAATTTAGATAAGAGGATGTACATCTGTGTTTGACAACTATTTGGCAAGTGTATACAGCTGAAATAAATCAAAAACTGCAGCAAGTATTCCAGAAATCGCATGACCAGCCTCTGCGAGCAGCCACAGCTTGACAGACTATGGTTCTATGATCTCAAAAAACAGTAAAAAACAAGAGTAGGAGGTGGTGCATCTCCCAGAGCCCCGGGAGCTGCAGGACTTTAGCCCCTCAGCCAGCACGCTTGCCTGTCAACACACTAGGGCGCAGACAATGTGCAGACATGGTCAAAGTAGTCAACACTTTGCTGCAGCCACTATACCCTGTAAAAACCCGATGTGAAACTCTACAGACCAATAAAGACATTTGGTCTTCTCCCACCCTAGGGTCTTTTGTAACGCACTCCAAAGCTACCAGCTGGACTCAGGTTGATGTAGACTAACTGGAGACTGGGAAGCGTTCTAACAAACCTGAAACTAGAAAAAAAATCTGATGACTACAGGCCGGCTACAAGTAACCCGTTACTATATACGCCTCTGCAGAGAAGCCTGCAGCGTAAGAAAACGTTCAAGCATAGGTGAAGCAGCACGTAAGATTTCATATGATCTTTTAAGGGAAGACGAAGTTAGGTGTATGACAGCATAATAACTGGGGCACCTTCCTTTTCAAGAAAAAGGTCTCATCATTTCTAGCAATCAGGCTCTTATGAAAGTCCCTAATGTACGTGCTTGACTCAACTACCTTCAGTGTGCAACTCTGCAGGCTCTCAGTGCCTGCAAACAAAATGAAACAAAGCTGCTTCAGCTCCCTCACCTGCAGACCCCGAAGGAGGAGGAGCACCTGCTTTCTGCCACTCGGTGGCCTCAGCTGCCATTCTTCGCACATATGCATCATCCACACACATCAGGATGTTCTCCGGCTTTATGTCCGTATGAATGATCTTGCACTTACTGTGTAGATAATCTAACCCCTGAAGGACCTGGTCAGAGTAAAATCAAGAGAAGAGATGGGTTATTAATACCTTTCAACATTACTATTTAACAGTAACGTTCAACATTTCCTTGTAAATTATGTAACATAATCACAAGGCACAAAGGGTATTTAGTAAAAATCTCCCTCCTGCTCCCCCAAAGGAGCCCAGAGCCCTCCCATAAGCAACCAACATGTATCATTCTGGAGGTAAATTTATGCTCATGGAAGCAAATGCATCTATAAATATACTTTTGTATAACAACTTTACTGAGATGTAATTTACATACAATTCACCCTTTTAGGTGGACAATTCAATGGTTTGCAGATGTGCAACCATCACCACATGTTAATTAGAACATTTTTATCACGGAAAAAAGAAACACCATACCCACTGGCACTCATTCTCCATGTCTTCCAGCTCCTCCAGCCTTAGGCAACCACTAGTCTACTTTCTATCGCCATACATTTGCTGGTTCTGGACATTTTACATAAATGGAATCATACAAAATGGTCTTGTGTAATTGGCATCATGTTTTGAGAGTCCATCCGTGTGTAGCATGTATTAAGTACTTCCTTTAATTGCCAAATAATGTTCTGCTGGTTATGCTATCCTTTGTTTAGCCATTCACCTGATGGATATTTGGGTTGTCTCCACTTTTTGGCTATTATAAATAATATTGCTATGAACATTCAGGCATGAGTTTCTGTGTGGACACATTTTCATTTTTCTTGGATATATACCTGGGAGTGCAATTGTTAGGTTATATGGTGACTCTTCTGACAAACTGCTTGCTGTTTTATTCAGTGGTCACACCATTTCACATTCCCACTAGCAGTGTCTAAGGGTTCCAACTCCCTTGTCATGGCCTACACTTTGCTGTCTTTTTAATTTTAGTCACCCTGCTGGGTATAAAGTGTGTCTCACTGATAGGCACTTCCATGATGTCTAATGATGTGTATACATTTTTAATATTGCAAAAAAAGAGGATTAAATAGCCTCAGTATCCACTAAAACTGCTGAAACAAAGTATCAACAAAAACAAGACCCACAAAACTTAAAGTGCAGTGACCTAAATACAAAGCCAGTTTTTCTCAAATTATTTCCAGAGAGGAATTCTTTCAATTCTTTCCATAAGCAAAAATATTTTTTTTAAATATCCCCATTGTGTTCCTATACATTAGAAATTCTACCACTCAATAAATATTAGCATTTAATAAATACCATACACTTAAAAATTTTTTTTTCAACATTTATTGAGAGACAGAGAGAGACAAAGCACAAGCAGGGGATGGGCAGAGAGAGAGGGAGACAAAGAATCCAAAGCAGGCTCCAGGTTCTGAGCTGTCAGCATAGAGCCCAACACAGGGCTTGAACCCACAAACCGTGAGATCATGACCTGAGCTGAAATCAGACACAACCAGAGCCACCCAGGAGCCCCAATGTCATCATACACTTTAAATCATTTAGGGTATTTGTTCACAACAGAAGTGGGGAAAAAGACGAGAAGATACATGGTATTATCCAATTCTAGTAAGTTCTCAGCAAGAGTCCAATGCTTCTACTGTATCTGGCTAAACAACCTTAACAGATGACAGTATTAGGATATGAGGGGACAGAGGTTTCAAAAGGAAAATGAAAAAAGGAAGACCCATCTCTTAAACAGGATGAAAATCCCTATACTCATCGAAAGTAACTTTCCCTAGGAAGGATTCTTACATGACTTCGCTGACCAAGCGTCAGTCAAATTCCTGGAATAGGTCATGTACCTGGTTTGAAGTGTCTGACAACAGCAATAAAGAAAGCCCCCTGTCTCCAAGGGGCTTACAGTCAGAGGGCTTACTGTCTCATGCCTGAAGGGAGAGGGACCAGCCAAGAAGAAACCAAGATGAACCATGGCTACAGCAAACAAAGTTTAATGAGCTCTTGACAAGTGCCTAGTAAGTACCCAAACAGTAAACCAGATAAAACTAGAGTAAGAGAAGGAAAGACACTTGTCTTACCTTAAAAATAATATTTAATGTTTGCAATTATACTGTAATTAGAACATTTAAATGATGTTTGAAATATCAAAGGACCAGTAAGAAAGACTCTTTAAAAAGAGTCTTTCCATAAAGAATAAGGTTATAATCCAGACAGGAGCACAATCCAATGGGCCTATATGCTCTTCACCGACATCCATGCATCTTCTTTGTTCAAACTGAAATAATACAGGGAATTTTAATATCTGAATAATGAGAGATTCTGAGAAGTATAAGAAATTAATGGACAGGAACAGTGATGATTTCTAACCTATGGAGGGCAAACGGACAAGATTTTTTGAGAAAATTTAAACAGTTTAAAATTATCCCAACTGAAACTGCATTTCCATTATCAAATATAAACTCCAAGTAAAAATGTCCCCATCTCTCCACCTCCATTCCATGCTCAAGGCTCTCCTATTTCTCCACCTGAGCTCCTTCACGGAGATCAGGCTGTTTCACTGTGTGGGAGGCCACACAAGTAAGAGTTAACGCGATCTGGTATTCAAATGTGTTCCTAGGGGTTGCCAGTGACCAGGAAGCACTTGAGATGAACAAAGTGTTCCCAGCAAGAACTTAAGGTACCAGATTTTTTAAATATCTGCAGTTACACTCCATTAGGTTATCCTTCCTTAAGAAACTGAGCTTATAATGTCTGACAATGAACACAGTGAAAGACTTGACTCCTAGGACAAATTAATTAAGATAATGCAAATCTTCAAGGCAATAATTAAGGGACACAGTAAGTATGGTGTTAAAACACGACCTTGGGATTCACACCAGTCCTACACTGCTGCCAGATCATTCTCTCACTGGACAAAGTACTTAACCAGAACATTCTCTCACTGGGCAAAGTACTGTCTGACCTTCCACTTCCATATTCATAAAAGGGGGGGAGGTGTGTGTATATATCTACTAAATAGAAATATGGTAGGAATTAGAAATAACCTATGGAAAACCTACAAAAAAACAAGGTTTAGCTCAGGAAGCTCCAAATAAAGGACAGAACTGAACTAAGTCACAACACTTGTACTGGTATTGACTAAGTAACTATAACTTCGTTAAGTCACTTAATAAACTTCTCTGGGTCTCACTTCTCCCACTCGGAACGTGAATGGGCTATACCTGATACGTTCTGTGCTACATCCCAGCAATGAAATTGTGGTTTAGTAATTTCCTTTAGTTCTGGACTACATATTTTAAAAAAGCCTTTAGCTATAGACTAAAAAGAATGGTGTTATTTTTAAAGATAGCATTTCTTTTCTTAATGAAGTTTTAAGCAATAAAGAGCCCCAGAATCACTAAAGTAATGATGGGCAATCTCCTAACCATTTAAGCAGAGCATCTATGATGATGCACAAAAAAGAGAAAAGCAGTGAATAAGCTACATGCCCATGGGTAGATCTTCTCTTGCAAAACCTGAAAAAAAAAAAAAAGCTCAGAAAAGGCTTTAGCAATTTCCCGAGTTTTCCTTCACTTGCCAGGCACAGTTTATTTGCCTTTCTTGCCTAAAAAGAAAAACACATACTTCGCCTCATCAGCAGGAGGCAGCAGAGGCTGCAGAGACACCCTCCAACTGCCATCTGTGAAAATCTACAGCCGCCATGAGAGCAGAGATAATCCAAGCACAGACGGGCCAGGGACTGGGCAGGACCTCACACTCGGAGGAGCCAGATCACACCGCCCAGGAGCAGGGCCAGTTCTCTCCTTGTGAAGCCAGACCCGCAGGTTAGCGGCAGCACAGCCGTGAAGCAGAGACCAGGGCTGGGAGCCAGGAGCCCCCAGTTCCGGTTCAGAAACAGATTAGCTATGGCTTAGAGCGAGTCCCCTTCCCTGACCTCAGATTCATCCGTAAAATAAGACGCTTGTCAAGACCGTCTCCAGGGCTTCTTTCTCTACACCTGTGAGGATGGTGAGATCATCTATTACTGGCGTGAATGACACAAACCTACTCCTCCCTACCATGGCTTGCTACAATGGGTCCCGTAATCGTGCAGATTCAAGAGGAGGAGTAGGTCAAGAGGAATGTGGGAACTTCTCTCAGGGCTGTGTCCCTCACTCTGCTCACCACCCAGAAAGCACAGTTTCCCCCCAAATCCTAAATTGTGAAGACAAACAGAATGAGAGCAACTTCCCAAATTATTTTCTGACTCTGGTTACCACATGGGGACTTCCTTCCTCCCCCACCTGAACAAAGGACATGGGGCCAGGAGACTCGGCCTGCCTGCCCCTAATTCTGTGAGTAAGGCCTTGCTAATGCAGCACGGAGGGAAGCCCAAATGGTAGCCAGAGGGGCTGGCCCATGCAGGAGGAGCCTTTCACCAAGACAGTAACCCCTTGTGGTGTGCACAGAAACACCAGAAAGGCTCTCCTCAAGCCTAGAAACTTTCCCACTAGAAAAGCTAAGGTTCCCACTAGATTTCTCTTCCTCATTCAACAGATACGAGGTAAACCCTACAACCTGCTTCTGACAACTGTGGTGTTCAACTGAATGGAGGACTGTGGGAATCCCAGCTCAACAGAGGGGGCAAGAACTGGATGCACATGCAGACAAAAGTCTCAGTGGGCACTGTCCTTGTTTGCTTTGTCCCGAACCAGCATTCTGCTCCGTGTTCTAACTCGCACTATTGAGAATTCATGAGAAAACCCTGCCGTGATGCCTCCAAACGTAGTTGGGACTAAAGAGCAAGCCAACGTGCCTAGCACGGAGACCACACGGCACAGAGCGAGCTGGGCACGAGGCTCACCGCTCTTCAAAGGGAGCGACTGCACCACCTTCCTGAGTTGACGACCCAACATTCTGAGGAGGAGAGTCCCAAGTTAGGTCAGAATATGTATCACCATGAAGAATAAACCCAAGAACATGAAAGTGTTTACCAACTTAAAATTAGTCTTCTGTTTTATAATTGAAAACTGGCACAGTGATAATGAATTCGCTGATCACTAGGAGCAGCAGAATAAATGAAATGGCAAATAGATACTAAGTGT